CATGACTACCCAAATAGCTAGGAGGATTAATGAATTCTTTATTACCTTTTAAGAGCATGGTTACCACTCAATTCAGCCTTCATGTCTACTTATCACGGTGAAATCTTGAACTTGATTATTAGTCTTGTTCGATTACGATCACATAAGTTATCTTCGATTTCCAAATGACTTAGCTCTTATAGTAAACCAACTACGCTTTATTGGTATACTCATACCGTGACCACAGATTTCTTGAGTAGACATTCATCGAAGTGTAATGTGAAACGCCTTTAGCATAAAAGAAATGACTTGTCTTATCTTAATCATTCACCTACCTTTGTTAGATTCCTAATATACCCAATAAATTGCCTACGTGTAACTCTTTACTCGGATCAATCGAAATGAGTGTCAAAGCACATAAATTTTCAAATAAGATAATTGTGATGACCTCAAGTCTAAGGACCAGCTATACCCATCTCGTATGAGACTTCCATAGACTACGACAAATGGGTTCTCATAGCAAGTCAAGTCTAGTGATATGTTCTTTAATATAAATCACTTAAGTGTTTATTTTGGCATCACAATGCCAATAGGTATGGAATCTTCTACTACTATCATATACCATTAGCATAACACTCACACGTCTAACTGCATGTAGTCAATATCCATTTTTGATCATGTTATAACTTGGGACATTTAACGATATCATTTATGTGTATTAGTGTTTGTCTCACATGTTTTAATCAATCGCTAATGTAAATATATATCGTATGAACTTCTATCTAATTCTATATAATGAATAAATCCAAATGAAAAGAATTAATAGAAAGACTTCCTTCATTATAATCAATATAAACAATGCAATAATATAATAAGTCAAACCTATCCAAAAGGGTTGGATCTTGGGCACCTACACTAATACCTTCTACCTATATAACGGTAGTGATTTGTGAAGAGTCTAGTTCTTCATGGGTCATTACTATGATAAAAGAACTTGAGTGAGTCATTTATAAAAAATCGAGTTGAGATTTGGTAAAATTACTTAAAGGTACCGAGTCATTGGATGTAAATGAGTCTACAAGAAGAGGGTAAGAATACCGAGTGTTGAAGATGCTAGATTCAAAGCACGATTGGTGGCTAAGAGTTATAGTCAAAATGAGGGAATTGATAACAATGAAGTATTTTCTCTAGTTGTGAAATATATCACTATTCATGTGTTGTTTGCTATAGTGACTCAATTTGATTTAGAACTCGAGCAACTTGATGTAAAGATAACTTTTTTATATAAAAAGCTTGAGGAGACTATTTATATATTTCAACCGGAGGGATACTTTGTGGAAGGAAAAGACGACCATGTTTATAAATTGAAAAAAATCCTTGTATGGCTTCAAAAAATCACCAAAGAAGTGGTATAAGAGGTTTGATAGCTTTAAGGTTTGATAGTTTTATACTCAATCATGGTTATTCAAGATCTACTTACAATCGTTGTGTGTATTTCGGGTAGTTAGCGAGATGAATCTTTTATATATCTCTCATTGTATATGGATGACATACTTATTCGTTGCTAAGAACATATAAAAAATTAAGGTGTTGAAGAAATAACTTAGTTATGAGTTTGAGATGAAAGATCTTTGAGCATCGAAGAAGATCTTAGGTATGGAGATTCATAAAGATAGGAAGGCGGAAAAATTATATCTTTCATAGAAAAGATATATTGAGAAAGTGTTTGAGCATTTTGGTATGCAAGCAACCCAAATATTTCGATACTTCATTAGCTATTCACTTCGGACTTTCGACTTCTTAGTCACCTTTGAAGAAGAAGAGAAGGAAATGTCATGAGTTCTATATTCCAATGCTAAGCAACATAATGTATGCTATGATCCGCATTCGTCCAAACATTGCCTAGACGATCGGTGTTATAAGCATATATATGACTTACCTTGGAAAGATACATTGGCAAACGAGTGAAGTGGATTCTCAAGTATCTTAAAGGTACCATAGATTTAGGTTTAGTCTTTAAAAAGGGTAGTGCTTCTAAAACTTTTATTGTAGGCTTTATGGATTCTAATTATGCAAGCGATCTCGATAAAAGAAGAACTTTGACGGAATATATCTTTACACTTTCGGGCTCTACTATAAGTAGATTAACATTACTCGTTGATAGTTGCTTTGTCGACTACCGAAGTAGAATATATGGCGACAGTCGAGGTCTGTGAAGGAGGCTATTTGGTTACAAAATCTTGTGGATGAACTTGGTCTTCAACAAGAGGAAAATTCAATTGTTTTTTGGTGACAACTAAAGTGTTATACACTAGATTTTTTATCAAGCACATCACGAGAGGACCAAGCATATTGATATCAAATATCATTTCATCCGTGAAGCAGTTTTTGATAAGAAGATTGTAGTGAAGAAAGTTCACGTTAAAGACAATATAACTCGATGTGTTAACTAAACCTCGTTACGATAAACAAGTTCATGCATTATTTGGAACCGAGTGGTGTTAAGAAAATCAAAGTTTGCTATTGAAAGAGAGGTCGGATTATGTGAAGGAGAGAGACACGGCCGTGTAAGTTTTCTTATCTCTCCCGTGCTTCATGCCTTTATCCGTGTGAAGCACTTGTCTTATGCTCGTGTTTCATGCCTCGCGCCGTGTGAAGCATTTGTCTTGCGCTCGTGCCTAATGCTTCTACTTGTGTGACACTTCTATCTTATGCCCGTGCCTTATGCCACCACTTGTGTGTTGTTTTGAATTGGAGAGTGAAGCACGAACCTGTCTCTTTGTTGCTTTGGCCGTGTGCTCATGAATTTGCCCGTGTGCCTCATTCATTTGTTTATGCATGTTGGGGTATTGTTGGAGAGAAGGAATTTTGTTAGTCTCGGTGTTGAAGTCAATATTTCTCTTTTCTCTTTTCACATCTCTTGTTTCTTACATAGAGTTAGCTCATATAAGCTTAGATATGTATTTTGAAAAATTATTTGACACTCTTGCAGGCTTGCGGTATTTAAGCCAAGGTGAAGATTTTTTGTATATGGTTTGAATTTTATGAGCCAATAATATATTCAGCCCATTAGGTTTTTTTTTTTTTTTTTTTTTTAGGTATGAGGTATTTGAACATCCTTATGTCTCTATTTAAAAGATAAAGATTTTGTATTGAACTTTTAAGGTTCTTGTATTGTCATATTATCAAGCTAATAAAAAAATTCCCTCTTGTCCGTGGGGTAGGTAATTTGCTGAATTATGTAAATCCTATGTGTTGATAATTTGTTTAACTTTATCTTTTAATTATTTTATATCATTATTTGTCTTATTTTCGTTGTTTATCATTACATAACATCAAAGTGAAATATAATATTTTTTTTATTATTATTATTTTCGTTGTTTGTCATTACATAACATCAAAGTGAAATATAATTTATTATTATTATTATTATTATTATTATTTTATAAATCTTCTTAAAAACGAAGACAAAATACGGTATTATATTTATGATGTTTGTTAATCTGATCATCCTACAGACAGGTTATTAACGCCATACCCACTTTTTCTGGCTAGAAAGTATAAAGCCTCATTAAATTAATTACCAACGCTTTGATTGACGCTCGTACTTTTTATTCATTTTGATTTTGATATTTGAATTATAAGATATTTAAATCGATTTTTTTTATTAGGTTACAAATAATATTAAGAATAAGACTATTATAAAATAAAAGTTTTGGTAAATATGAACGAAAAACAGATTTTTTTTTTAACTTTTCAAATCAAAACATGATTTTTATTTCAAATTATACAAGTGGATAAATCTCTTTCTACCATTGATTAATAGGAAACAAATAATATTATCAGACCTCATTAATGAAAGATTGAAGTCTTCGAGCACGGTTAATAAATGTCAATTCTTAAAAAAAAAAACAAAATCAAAATCATTATTTAAAAAACCTAATATTCTAAATATAAAGATATACAATTTTTGTTTAAAGAGAGAATTATACGTGCAAATCAAATCTGAAAAAATTAAGGTCTGAAATAAATAAATAAATAAGAGAAAATCTATATAAAAAAGAGCGCGGAAGGAATTATTTTGGAACCGAGAAGAGCCGAAACCAGAGTTTAGAAGAAGGTATTTTATTGGAGAAAGAGACAGAGGAGACAGAGCACATGGACTTCACACGGTTTCGTTTCAAACTTGAAAAGGATGTTTCGACATAACCGGTAGACTCTTCTTAATATAATTAAGCTAGCAAATCATAGTAGGATATAAATGTATTAAACCTTAAATTTTTTCTATAAAATAAGTAAAACCTAATTTTTGTATTTAATTTGAGTTTATTATTATTATTATTTATTTATTATTTTTTGATATCGAACTATTGGAATTAACGGAAGGATCAAGTTATGATAATAGTGATAGATCAGCTACTTATTTAGAGTCAAGTAATGGATCAAGTTATAAACAGATATAAGAATTTAGGAATTATTTAATTATTTCTCATGCCATGAGGACTAATTGATTCGTTTCTATAAAACTCATGGAATAATTTACAATTAACTCTTTTGAGAGGTAGAAGTATCTGTTCCGATGAAATACAAGATATTAGTAATTTCTTACCGATTAGAAAGTACATTTTACTGAAAAAAGTTCGGCTTGAATAGATAGAATTTATTAATAACTTAAATAAATGATTTTGAATTCATATTTTTATATATATAAAAAAATTGAATAACTGAAATTTTTTTTATATACATGTGATCGAAGAGCAATGATTAATATAGACATTTTAGCTTGAGTTCCCATGGGAAAAAAAACTTCACGTGCTCCTCAACAACAAATAAATTACATTTTCTTGGAACTGCCCCGCACCAAGGGTGATGATACAGATCTGATGTGGATGGATATGATTAATTCTGCCTCGGGGCCCGAGAAATTAAGATAGAAAAAGACAAACGATTGTATTCAAACCCCAAAAATCAACTTCTTGTTCAACTTTCTTTCTCAAACATCTTGATTCATTTCTCTTTGCATGGCTCCATATTCTTCTCAGCTCCTATGGAATTTGTTCTTGTTCAACGTCCTTATCTTATCCACCATCTCGTGTGCAATTGGATGCTACACATCAATCTTTAGCTTTGGCGATTCACTTGCCGATACTGGAAACTTAATGCACTTGTCGCAGCCTGATAAACTTCCCCAGTTCTCCTTTCCTCCTTACGGTGAAACCTTTTTTCACCAGCCTACCGGACGTTGCTCCAATGGTCGTCTTGTCATAGACTTTATTGGTACGTCATGCACATACACACCTAATTCCATGGATGTGTATTTTTATTTACAAACAAAACAACTTTTTTTTTTTTGTGTTATTTCATGTAGCTGAATATCTAGGGCTTTCGTTTGTGCCACCATATTTTGGAGGAAGCATGGAAAGTTTTAAAGAGAGAGGTGTCAATTTTGCTGTAGTGGGAGCTAGTGCGCTTGATGCTGCCTTTCTTCGAGAAAGAGGAATCAAGAGCAAATTCACCAATATTTCTTTGGATGTTCAGCTGGGTTTGTTCAAAGAACTGTTGCCGTCTCTCTGCTCCACGCCGTCCGGTAAGTCTGCCGTTTCAAGTTACAGGCAGATATACACTACTACTTTTTTTAAAAAAAATTATTCTATTATGACTTGAGCTAGTGCCATAACTTATAGGAGGTTAATTAAGCGGTAAAAGCCGATCCCGTCTTAAAAATAAATAAATAAAATATAATTTCCATGAGAAAAGTTCTGATTTCGTAGCAATCGCTCTACCTTCAGTACATGTTTCATCACGTCAATGTGAAACTGATTTGCATTAAGAAAATTTCCATGCCTTTCCAATCTTTCTTTATCTTTTTCTTTTTTGGGACTAGATCCCTTCCGATCTTTCTTTTCTTTTATTTTTTTTCCTTTCTTTTAATTTCTAATCAGATCCCCTCTCCCAATCCTGTCACGGTGGGGTACCATGACTGCACCCAGAACTGACATGTTGGATTATTTATCTTTTGGCAACATTTTATGGCTGAAAACATAAGAAACTTAAATAGTCAGTGGAGTGGAGGCCCAACCAAGAGTGGGTTTACTAGACAAAATCATCTACCAGATCCAGATTTGACGTCTCATCTGCCGTATATAGGTTGTGTTTCTTATTTGAGATTATTATATTTGAAAATTGTGAATATTTTTAATTTTTTATAAGAAATTATTACATGATATCATGTGGACCAAAAGTCATATTACAGCCACTTGGATCCACCAGGTTCCAAATGATTACTCAGAATGATGGGACTTACTTACACCAGTTAGAAAGTTTGGGTCAACATGACCATGCTTTATAGATATTGAATTTTATGTGCATGAATGCGCATGGAAGTTACAAATAAGCTTTTTTCTTAATAAATTCTGTAAAGATGGAGATCCAAATTGAAAAACTTTCTATGATTTGTAGACTGCAAGAAGCTACTTGGCAACTCCCTTATTCTTCTGGGAGAGATTGGAGGAAATGATTACAACAACGCCTTCTTTGGAGGAGTTAGCTTTGAGATTATTCAAGATCTCGTACCTTACGTTATTAACACCATAGGTCTAGTCATTGAGGTAAAAACTTCATTCCAAAGTGAATTGTATAGCTAACTCATGTCTGATAGAGTACATAGTACAAGATCTAAATTGAACTGAGTTTACAAAAGAAGTTCATTATTTTTATTATTTTGCGTGCCTTTATGTTTGTTAATTTGCAAATTACAACATATTACAAGGGTACTCTTTATCTTTTTTTTTTTTTATTGAATATTTGATTACTAACAAATGCAATGCAGGAGGTAATTGAACTAGGAGCTATTACAATATTGGTTCCTGGAAATCTCCCAATAGGTTGCTCGCCATCCTATCTAACATATTTTGAGGGTTCAGATAAGAAAGACTATGACCAATTTACTGGTTGTCTTAACTGGCTCAATAAATTCTCTGAGGATCATAATCAACAATTTTTGGCAGAATTAAATCGAATTCAGAAGCTTCATCCTCATGCGAAAATCATTTATGCAGATTATTACAATGCTGTAATGCCTTTTTATCACTTACCAAATCCATTTGGTATGTTCCTTTTGTTGTTTTTTACATGTAACTATGTTAAGGAGCTTATAGCTAAGTTGTAATGTCGTAATAAATAGAAATGTTGAAATATTATTAATCTCCAATTGTTTTCATTTTAGGATTTACAGGAGGTTCCTTAAAAGCATGTTGTGGCTGGGGAGGAATGTACAACTACAATTCATCAGTTCAATGTGGCAACCCACTCGCAAGTGTTTGCAATGATCCTTCCTTGTATGTGAATTGGGATGGTATACACTACACAGAAGCAACCTACAAATTGATTTTTGAATCCATAATAGAGGGCACATATTCCTTTCCCTCTTTCAAAGCGTTGTGTAATTTGGACGGGAGATATTTTAATAATTAATAGCTATACCAATAAATAATAATAGCTAAGCAACGAAATAATCTTCTCCATACTCTTGTGCAAATCTAATAGAAAACTATAACATAGAACAATAAAGCAATTCAAATAACACATAACCAATTACATATAAACGCAAGGTAATTTTAACGTATGAAACTTCTCGATGTGAGGAGTAAAAATCACGGGATCGTAGTCCACCAAAAACACCATTATGAATTAAATAATGAATTCACAAAGTTCTTCTCTATCTCTACTTAGAGGCATATATCAACTTTATCATCAAGATAATAATCTTGGAATAACAACTTATGAAAATGATCAATAAGCATAAATATTCCCAAATAGAGTAACTATCCAAGTCCAAAAACCCGATTTAGGGACCTTCAATTGACGATTCAATCGTTCATATTGAAGAATCGTGCGTCATGAGTATGTTGTCAAAATCTCAAGTCAATTGCACCAAAAATCAGTACTTGATCATTAGTTTGATGAAACCATCGTAACTTCCTAAAAATCTAGATTTTCTCGCTTTTTTAGTTGCTCTCTCTCACGTTTTTCTCTTATTTTCTTTAAATTTTTTCTACCACTTTAAGTAACAACCAAAATCTACTTATTCAAGTTTTGGGCCTCAATTATTAGGCTTTTCTTCATATAAGGAGTGACTTAGCCCCACAAATCTCCCCCTCAAAATGATGTAGAGGAATCCGCCATTCCAATAATAGAACGACAATGTTCAAGCTTCTCTTTTAGTAGTTTCTTTTTCATCATATCGGAACCATCATGGTCCGTATGGATCTTCTCAAACTCTAATAATTTTTCATCTAGACATTCGTTATCCAATGATATCTAAGTCAATATATTTCAATCTAGAATGAAATGAGGAGCTCTTACCAAGATAAATCACACTCTAATTGTCACAAAACAACACATATCTCTTTTGTATAAAACCAAGTTCTCATAAGAACTTCATCCATAGTAACTCTTTACTAGCTTCCGTTATGGCGATAAATTAAGCTTTGATTATAGAATCCGCAACACACTTTTATAACTTTGACTTCCATGACATAGCTTTATCGAAAAAGAAAATCAAATAACTCTGTAGTAGATTTTCGAGTATCAATATCTTCGATCATATCTAAATCTATATAGCCAACCAACTCAAGTTTCTCAATCCCCAAACTAAGCTTCAAACTAGAAGTTCCTTGAAGATATCTCATAATCCATTTCATCACATTCCAATGGTCTTTGCCTGGATTTGACAAAAATTGACTGACAACACCAACTACATATGCTAAGTTTAGCCATATACATACCATGGCATACAATAAGCTTAATACCGCTAAAGCATATGGAACACTTTGCCCTCTCCTCTCTTTATTGCTTTTACTTTCTGCCTTTCAATTGTTCTTAATTTTCCTTTCTCTCGTTGCTCTTGCCCTCAATTATTCCCGCTTTTCTTCTCTCTATTCCTCTTCTTTACTCTCTATTCTCCTTCATTGAAAACCCTAATTAGACTTGTATTTATATATAAAAGTCCTCATATGAAAGTCCTCTCCTCACACATAGGCTCAATTTCCTTAAATCTAACCTTCCTCATAACAAAACAATTTTTTCAGTTTACTGTTCCTTTTAGCTTAGGTAGAATTATTTCCATTGCCTTTTAGAAAAGTTATTAGACAATACAAGACTCATTCTGTCTTCTCATATGTTAGAAAGCTATTGAACTATGCATTGGTGGGTAGATATTATTCGATTTTGGAGAGAAAAAAATGACTTTGATATGAGAAGAGAAAGTGATGTCTTGCTTTGCGACAAGTGACCTACTAAGTAGATGGCTAAGTGTTTTATCATAAAAATAAAAAGCCTAGAAATATCATATGAAACAAAAATGCACTCATCCTTAATCGTACGCACTCAAGATATTACTACTGTTTTTGTAAGTTACATGTAATTCTCAAGGGAAAAATGCTTTTTGTAATGAGAAAAAGTAGGGACTCTCCTGACAACAACTTTTCAAGATATTAATTCTCATTTTTTTCATTGTAAATATCAAAATAAAATAAAAAATAAAAAAATAAATGAAAGAGGATGATAAAAAAAATAAAGACCTTAAAAGGATAAAATTGAAGAAAATATATAATCCAAAATTTGACAAAAAGTACATAAAGCTAATCTTTTGCTACTACAATGTGAAGAAGGCAGCTTCAAAATTCCTTACTATTTCTCAAAACATCTACCACATCTTGAGAGATTAGATTCTTGCATTTAAAAAAAAAGATTTTGTGTGCACAAGAAAGAGGTTTTTTTGTTTTGTTTTTGTTTTTTATAGAAGAAAGGTAAATTATATAGAAAGGTCTATGATTTGCAAATAGTTATTTATATGGGTAATCATTTGATCTTTCGATTCAGTTTTGGTGTTTTTTTTTTTCAATTTTCGGTTAATCGAATCTATTACAAAAGAAATCGAAAATGAATTGAATTGAGGTTCGGTTATTCAGTTAAAAAACCAAAAATTTCTGTTTGGTTTTTGGATTTTTTGGTTAAAATCGATTTTTTTTTCTTTTTTTAATTGCATGGGCCAAATAATTAGCTTGGCCCCCTGGAGTTACAGCCAGTAGCCCACTCTTGAGCTTGGTCTTCTTGTATGCAAATGGTATTTCTGAAATAAATGAAACATAAGTAAGGATCAATGCCTCAGTTTGATTTCACAATTCACGTACATTATACAAATAACTAAAATTGATTGGCCTGGCTACCATAACAAAAAGAGCGCTATTAAATAAATTATGTTCACATATGCTTCATTCTATTTCTGTGTATGAAGGTCCTTATCTTCAATCTGTTTAAGACAAATTTGTATTTTACCAAATTCAGAATTCCTATTGCCAATAGTAGACAATACTGTCTAAGAACCCAATTACAAGTTCACTAATTTTGCCACCGACATTCAAGCAAGCTTTCTATCCCACTGCAACTTTTTTCTATTGCTTTGAAGCAGAAAATCGTGTCATTAAGTAAGTAATGCTGATTCAAATTATCAACCTGATGGATTTTGATACCGCATGCCATTATCCTAATTGAAGATCAATTTTTAAAATAACAAGGTATGCATAATCATATATACCGACCTGTAAATGACTCTTTAACTTCATCACTACTAAGTCCATCCACCTTTATTAGCTCCCTAATTTGCTTTGGTGTTGCAGCTGCATTACATTGAATCAAAACCACGTTTCAATTCAATTCCATGCCACAATAAAACAACAAAACCATAGTCTCCTTTCTGAAAATAATCATTCTCACCATGTGAACCACCAAGCTGTTGAAGAGCATGTAAGAACCTTCTATGCAACTCAGGTGACCAATAGCTTCGTTGTTTTCTTTGGTTCCCCACTTCTTTGTCTTCCTTTTTATTGTTTTCACAACCAGTCCCTCCTGTCACAGCTCCCGCTATTAAACTTGTAGCAGAAGCCGAATTGAGAAAATAAAGGGTGCTGCAGCAGGTTACCTTAATATGTGGAGGAAAGTTGACGAATGACGACAATATGAGTCAATTGAGGAATAATATCTTCCAAATGCTTCCCAACAACTCCGAGGCACAAGCTTGCTAAACTTAAAGCTTGTCTGTGGTCGTTTTCAATTTTGACTGAGGGAGACTGTGAGAGAAAGTGAGAAAATGGTTTAATGGCGAATGGAGCTTGGTTCAAGACTAGATCTAGATGGTGGAGTTGATTAGGTGAGGTTGATTGGTTGTCAATTATGTGGGATCTGCTCTACGGCCACGGGACTGTGATTCTGTGAGGAGAGGAGAAGTGGAGAACAAGGGTGAAGGGTTTTTTGCAATTTGGATTTTGGCCAGCGGAAAGAACCAGAGAAGATAGATAATTACCAGGGTTGTTTTAAAATTCGTTTTTCGGTAGAAACTGAATATTTTTTAAAAAATTCAAACCGAATCGAAATAATTTTAATTTTTTATATTAGTTTTCTTTCTTCATATTTTTTTAATAAAATCAAATCAAAATTACTAATTTAATTTGGTTTTGTTTAATTTTTCGATTTTAATCGAAAAGTGCTCACTTCTAGTTATTTAAGAAATATATAGAGATAGATTGAAGAGAATAATAGGACTCTCTCAAAGTCTATACTTGGAAAAGGTGTTGAAGAGGTTCAACATGCTTGATTCTAAGAAAGGATTGTTGCATGTGAGGCACAATATTCATTTATCTAAACGGATGTCTCTAAAAACACCCAAAGATAGAGATAAAATGACAAAGATTCTTTATGCTTCGACTATAGGAAGTCTTATGTATGCTATGTTGTGTACTAGGCCGGATATCGCATATACTTGTTAGTATGACCAGCAGATTTCAATCCAATCCAAGTTTGGAACAAGTGGAATACGATCAAAGCAATCCTAAAGTACTTGAGAAGAACTAAAGATCTTATTTTGACATGTGGAGAAGATGACTTAAGATTGGATGGTTTTACAAATTCGATTTTCAATCGGATATTGATGATAGAAAGTTTATCTCCGGGTTTGTGTTTGTTTGTAATGGAGGTGCGGTATGTTGGAAGAGTTCCAAACAAAGTACTACTGCGACTTCTACTACCGAGGCCGATTACATTCTTCGCATCGGATGCTTGCAAAAGAAGTCGTTTGGATTAAGAAGTTCGTGATATAACTTAGGGTGGTTTCTACCATTAAGTTACCGGTTCTCTCTCTCGTGACAACACTTGTGCTATAGATCAAGCAAAGGAACCAAGGTCTCACCGGAAATCCAAACACATAGAAAGGTGTTATCATATTATTAGAGAGATTGTTGGAAGAGGTGATGTAGCCTTGTAGAAAATAGCATCGGTGAAAACCTCGTTAATCCATCGACAAAGGCCATGACACAACGAGCAGTTAGACTATCATCTTAATAAGATGGGTCTTAGATACTCTAGTGAATGGCTCTAGTGCAAGTGGGAGATTGTTAGATATGTATGCCCAAAAGCCA